AACTATAAAACACTGTTAAAAGAAATAGAAGAAGACACAAAGAAATGGAAAGACATCCCCTGCTCATGGATTGGAAGAATAAACATTATTAAAAAGGCCATCCTTCCAAAAGCAATATACAGATTCAATGCTATTCCAATCAAAATTTCAATGTCATTCTTCAAAGAAATAGAACAATTATTGATGAAATTCATATGGAACCACAAAAAACCCCGAATAGCCAAAGCTCTACTGAAAAAAAAGAGAAGGGAATGGAGGCATCACACTCCCAGACTTCAAACTATACTACAAAGCCATAATCATCAAAACTGCATGGTATTGGAACAAGAACAGACATACAGACCAATGGAATCGAATAGAAAATCCAGAAATAAACCCACAGATTTATGGTCAACTAATCTTTGACAAAGGAGCAAAGACTATGCATTGGAGCAAAGAAAGTTTGTTCAATAAATGGTGCTGGGAAAACTGGGTCGCTACATGCAAAAGAATGAAGCTTGACCACTACCTCACACCATACACAAAAATCAACTCAAAATGGATTAAAGAACTAGAAATAAGACCTGAAACCATAAAATATATAGAAGGAAATATAGGCGAAACACTACGGGATTTGCACATCAAAGACATCTTTACAGACACATCACCCAAAGCAGTGATAGTGAAGGCAAAGATAAACAGCTGGGACTACATCAAATTAAAGAGCTTCTGCACAGCAAAAGAGACAATAACAAAAACAAAGAGAAACCCCACCAACTGGGAGAACATTTTTGCACCCAACACTAATGATAAAGGACTGATCACAAAAATCTTCAAAGAGCTGATGAGACTCAACAACAACAAAGAAAATAATCCAGTCAAAAAATGGGCAGAAGAGCTAAAAAGAAACTTCTCTGAAGAGGAAATGCAAATGGCCAACAGGCATATGAAAAAATGTTCAACATCACTTGTCATCAGGGAAATGCAAATCAAAACTACCATGAGATACCATCTTACACCAGTGAGAATGGCACATATTAAAAAAACTAGCAACAACAAATGTTGGCGAGGGTGTGGAGAAAAAGGAACTCTCCTGCACTGTTGGTGGGAGTGCAAACTGGTCCAACCACTATGGAGAGCTGTGTGTAGATTTCTGGACCTACTAAACATAGAGCTTCCATATGATCCAGCAATTCCACTCCTAGGTATTTACCCAAAGGATACAGAAACATCAATTCCAAAGAACACCTGCACCCCTATCTTTATAGCAGCACTGTTTACAATAGCTAAGCTTTGGAAACAGCCCAAATGCCCAAAAACAGATGACTGGATCAAGAAGATGTGGTCCATATATACCATGGAATATTACTCAGCATTCAAAAAAGATAAACACATGCAATTTGCAGCAACATGGATGGTGCTGGAAGGGATCATGCTCAGCGAAATAAGCCAGAAAGAAAAAGAAAAATACTGGATGGTCTCACTCATAGCAGGAATCTAGAAAACTTAAATAAGGGACCAGGAAAATGAATAACTATAAGAAAGTGAAAATCAAAATCAACAAAAAACTATGAACCAGAGACACTTTTTGGGGGATGGGGGCGGGAGGGGAGGATTGGGGTCAGAATGAGGGGGCTGCAATTGTATGGGGAATATAAAAATAAAATTCATTATTTAAAAAAAAAAATGTTTGCAACATTGCTTCCTGATTCCTGTCTTACTCTTCTTGAGTCCATTCTTCAGTCATTTTATTAGCTTCCTTGACCATCCATTCCAGCTGGTATTCCCAGGGTATTGTCAATGGCCTTCTCCTTAATCCATATGTTCTTCATCACAGACAGTTCATTTAGATCTATAATGCTGCCTTATCATTACTGTAAGATTATTTCAAATATGTATCTCTAACCTTGAGCTTTAGCTCCAGCTAGAAATTTCTATTTTCCAAGTAGCCAAGAAAAAAGTTGGTCTTCCCTGGTGACCTGCTGTTCTTTGTTCATGAGACAAAGTCCTACTCATTCTTGTCCAAGGTAAACACTAGGGCTCACCTCAGAAACCTATGAATCATCTTGGATTTGTCTCCAGCTCCCTTAACTTTTTATACTCAATAATTACTAAGTTCTTTACCTGCCTCTCCTTTACATTTCCACTCTATTGCTCTGGGCAAGCATGGCTCTTCCCTTAAGGCTTGCACAGGAAAAAAGGGCAAACTAAAGCCCAAAACCACCTACAATAATTACTGTTATTTCATAATGAATACATTTTTAGAGCAAAACAACTGAGACAGAAAGCCTAGAAAACCCATCTTTTCCCCCTTTTTATTTTAATGAGGTAACAGTTTCCAAAACTGTAGAAGTTTCAGGGGTACCATATCTTACAACACGAATTATATATATCACCACTCATCCACCATCAAAAAAAATCAACATTTTAAATGGAATAAATTGAGCTTGCTGACTTATCTCAGCATGGATATGTGAAAACTTCAGAATGGACTGATACTAGCTCCAAAAAACTTATCTCACAATCTCTTTATGATTTCCTTCAACCTTTCCATGAAGGGTTAGCAAACTCTGGCCCATAGACAAACTCCACCCTGCATCTGATTTTAAAAATAAAGCTTCATTGGAGCACAGTCATATCTAGTCCCTTATGGTCTGTGACTGCTTCCCATTACAATGGCAGAGTTGAGCAGACATGACAAAGACCACATGGATTAAAACATTTAGTAACAGGCCTTTACAGGAAAAGCTCTCTAATTCCTGCTTTATACAATAACCACAGTGCCCTAACTCTCAAGTCCAAGCTTTTACTCTAATGCTGAAAATTCTTCAATGAATCCCTGTGGCAAACAGAGCTAGCACCTGCCCTAATAGCCAGCCATTCTTATTCTCTTTGTTATTGTTGAAGAATCACAAGTTGAAGCCCCTCCACAGTTCCACAAAGAGAAATGATTGTCCTGAGCTAATCATAGTAACCACGTTTCCTTTACCAGTGACTGGTTTATGGGTGTGCTTATGATGTAATCCAACCAATACAGTGTTAGGGGAAGTCTACTGCAAGCTTCTACTGCAAGTTTTGTTTAAAAGAGACACGTGAAGAAAAGCAGCCTTTTACCCTCTGGATATTGTTATGGGAGAATATGATGCTTGGAATCACTGATATTAGCCAACCAGGCAAGCAGACAAACAAAACACCCCCTACCCCACAACTGAAAGAGGGACAACTGGAATCCTGATGACATCACTGAACCCCCAAACAATCCTGATTCCTATCATTTCAGCCACTGTTATTTAAGTCACCTGTTAACTGTTGCTAAAAGCCTTCTACCTGATAAATCCCCCAAGGTGCACAGGGTTCAGGGGAGGAGTCCTTCCTTTATACTACCATCAGGCTGTCATCAGCTTGCCCTAGCTAGTTATTCACCTCTTTCCCAGCCATTCCCAGAGCACACTTTTCATACCAACAAGAGCGAACACCTTATGAATTCTGCAAAATTCACTCCTGCATCAAAGTCTTTGCACTACTGTTCACTTTTTAAAAACTAGAATTTCTTACCAAGAATTTAAAGTATCTGGCACTTATTAAGTAGCAACCAAAAGCAATAACAAGTTACTTTTGTTACTACTTTTTTGACTTCTATACTATCAATAGGTATCTTTTTTTTGGTAAATATTTATTTATTTAAGCATATAATAAGTGGGTACAGGCCAGAAGTGCAGGGGGTGAGCAGATTCACCAGAGACAGAGTGGGGAACAGAAGAGGCAGACTAACTGAAAAACACTGCTGAGAGGAGCAGCGGGCGAGTCAGCTCCCTGGCCAGCTGGGGATCAAACTCGTGCTGCAGAGGCTGAGGATAGCTTCACAGTGCTTTGCTTAACCCCTTGTACCACCAGGGAGACCCTCAATAGATCATCTTAAGAATGATCTCTTCTTGGACCTCCCTGGTGGCGCAGGCAGTTGAGTGCAGCACTGTGAAGCTGTCCGCAGCCTCTGTCGTGCCGGTTCGATCCCCACTGCTGGCCTCGGAGCAACCCAGATGGTGAGTAGACCTCTCCTGTCTCGCTCACTGCTCCCCTCAGCAGTGTATTTCGTCAGTCTGCCTGTTCTGTTCCCAGCTCTGTCTCTGGTGAATCCTCTCACGCTCCTGAGCATCTGGCCTATACCTCAGCTCTTGTAGAAATAAAAAAAATTAATAAATCTTAAAAAAAAAAAGATCTCTTCTTGGTATTGGTGCACACTGGCTAAGTTTTGCAGTTTTTTTATTTGCTACCTATTTATAGTACCCGACAGGTGTTGTTGAGCCTCCAGTTTTAAAGACACAGTTTTTTTTTTTTAAAAGATTTATTTATTTACACAAGAACTGAGGTACAGGCCAGATGTGCAAGAGGTGAGAGGATTCACTAGGGACAGAGGGAGGAACAGAACAGGCAGACCAAGTGAAATACACTGCTGAGGGGAGCAGCAAGCGAGAAAGGAGAGGTCTGTGGTGCCATGTGGGTATCTCTGCCACTGGCAGGGATCTAACAGGCACTGCAGAGGCTGCGGACAGCCTCACAGCGCTACACTCAACTGCCTATACCACCAGGAGGCCCAAGATATAGTTACTTTTTTAGTGAGAAAAAGCATGATATAATAATTTACATTTAACATATGTAATCCACTTGTTGGAAAAACTGAATAAAGATCATTTTTAAAACAAGTCCTATTTGTTATGATGTTATTAGGAAGAACATATAGCATACTAACTAATAACCTTTTTCTTTTTTATAAAAGGTATTATATGGTATTTTAGGGTCCATAGGAACTAAATAAATGACTTTCTTTTTTTCAGAAAGACAATATTGTCTCAGATTTTAAATTATCTACAATTAATTTTCTAAACTGTGAAAAACAGACTATGAAGAATTTAATATACATGTAATTGGGCACATTAATCTTTTTCATTATCAAAACTCCCTTATGTTTTCTTTCTTTACCTGTGGTAGGAACACCAAGAGTCGTTCACTATCTAAAGTCTTACCTGGATTGCTAATTGCTGGAGAAGAATGAAGTCTCTTTTCTTCTTCATATTGAGAAATTAGTTGATGATTGCTGTGATTAAAAAAAAGGTGATAATCATATCACTATTTTAATAGTAGTTTCATATAATATCAAAACGATAATTATCCTGTATACTTCAAATTTGTATGGTCTACAAATTTTTATAAAACATAATTTAAAAGGGGCCTCCCCGGTGGCACAGCGGTTGAGTGCTGGGCTACGATGCTGCCCACAGCCTCTCCAGCGCCGGCTCGATCCCCGGCTGCTGCCGAGGGTCCCACATGGCACGACAGACCTCTCCTGCCACTCCCACCGCTCCCCTCAGCAGTGTACTTTGGTCCTTCTGCCTGTTCTGTTCCCCGCTCTGGCTCTGGTGAATTCTTTCACCCTCCCGCACTTCTGACTGTACCCAGTGCTTGTATAAATAAATAAATCAATCTTAAAAAACAACAACATAATTTAAAGAAGAAAAAAGAGGAAGGTGAAGCAGTCATGAAATGAGGGCAGTATAACTCAGAAGCTCATACACAGTGGAAGATGTCTTGAACTCAGAACGAGTCCAATGCTCTATAATCACAGCTATTTTCTCCTGGACAAGTCACTTCCCTTCAGCTCAAAACCTTTCTCCATAAAACGGGGATCTGATTGCCTTATTTTAAAGGATTATTAGAAGATTTAATGAGATGATACAGCCTCCCCAAAGATAAGACAAATAGTGAAGCAATAGAATAATTTGTTCTTTAACTTTACCACTGGAACAATTTTGGAATCCTCCCAAAATCTCAATGTGTGTTTTTTCATAAGTTCTGACAACGAAATGTTGCAGTTTCAAGAAAATGTTATTAATTTGGGTTATTAGTGACTTTCTTTGTGGTTTGTTACTCAAGGTTTTAGCTATTACAAATCTGTAACTAAATTTATTATAAATGTCACCTCATTATATAGCATAATTTAGCTAATCATAACAAGAGCAGAAAACTAAGAAGATAAACCTGGCTTTGACTACCACTATTCCTTCTCTACCTACTCAAACCCTGAACCAGCAGATCTTTATTGGAATAGTGTTCACTGCCATGTTCATCTCTAACTGACTTGGAAAACATAATCTAACTTTTATAACTCGTGGATACTGGTGAATCATGGATGGGTCTTGGCTTTCCCATTGTCAACTAACTTACTTCAGATCTAGAGATTTCTGCTGAGTGGCTTCCTTTTAAGGCAGAATCAGAAAATAATTTGAAATTTGACATAAATATAAGTCAAGTAGGGGAATTTTCATTTGTATAGGAAACAGATCGCTGGAGAGCTCAGTCTTAATTGTGGAATCTCAGGCATGTTGGCACCCAACCAAGAAAAGGTGTCACAGGACGTAAAGCAGCAGTAGCATACACATCTGGTAACACAGGAGAAGGGAAAGTCTGATCTCTTCCTGCAGCATTGTTTGAACCCCTCTACAGCTTAGAATGGCCCCAACTAATATCTACTAGCGGGAAAATCAAAGAAGATCCTAGAAGGATAACTTACTGCGACGGTCTGGGCAAAGATAGGGACTCTACATAAGGGTTTTGAAGGAGGGGGGAAGATTATCTTTGAGTAAAGTTGGGAGGCCCACCTGTCAGTGCTTTGAAGCAGTGACGGAAACATATGTAGGGAATTTTAAAAAATTGCAGCTTTGAAGACTAAATGCAGATCACCATGAAGGCTGAGGAATCTGGACCAGCAAGGTTATCCTGGGAACAAAGGTCAATCACTACCAGACCAGCAGGGCCAGCCTGTGAGCAGCATAGCAGACTAGCTATGCTGCAGCAGTAGGGTGAATGGAAACCAAATCAACTCTTAGTTATGCATCAAATACAGCTTTAAAGGAAAAACATATTAAGTAGAGGTTAAAGAAATACCATAAAAGTTAAGAAAGTCAATTGTACCATAAACTAAAAGTTGGAGCCCCATTAATACTCCATTAGCTAATCATAGGACTAAAAGAATCAGATTGTAAATGATATCAGCAACATTAAAAAGGAATAAATTTTGCTATATACTTTTATATATTGCCCATCAGAATAATTGCTTTTCTTCCCGATGACTTACTGATATTTTTCAATATATGTCAGGATTATAAATTAATTCTCTTAATGATTTAATCCTTCTTATTTGAGTGACTATTACCACTCTAAACAATACTAAAGTTCAAAAAAAAATTACTGTACCTTATAATGTTATCTACAGCATGTCTATTTCCTTCCTTCCTTCCCAACAATTCTACCATTTGCTGTTTGTTTTCACTTAAAGCAAGTAAAAGTGGTGTGAGGTTATCCTGTAAAACAGTAAAAAACAGTTTAGAATTTCTAAGTCACACATTTTTAAACTGAATTTTAATACTTATAGATAATATGAATTAAAACATGTAATACAGAATGTAAGAAAAAGTGACCCATTTGTTCTCACACCTCTGTAATTTCTCATGTGCTCCTCCTCCTTTTTCTCTTGCTCCATCTTTTCAATAAATGCAAACTCTGAATGTTTACTGTCTCCAAGAATCATACTTCTATCACAGCCTTTACCATGGTATATTGTATTTAATTTATTATTCCCCATCTAAACCAAGAGCTTCTTGGGGGCACAGGCTAATTATTTTTCTCTATCTCCAAACTTTAAACATACTAGTAATGCTTTAAGTATTTTATTGCATTAATAATCAAGCTGAGTATCTCTTTTTTTTTAATTTATTTATTTATACAAGCACTACAGTCAGTGAGAGAATTCACCAGAGCCAGATCTATGTACCCTCCTCAGGTATTGAATGTGTCATGCATTCGCAATCAATGCGCCAAGGCCTCAAGCTGAGTATCTCTTGACTAGTGTTTCTTAATTACATTCCAAAGAATATGTACCCTTACCAGAAATTAAGGAATACACCCCAATGGAAACATTCTGTGATCATCTATTATTTGGAAACATTTTATTTTTTTAAAGATCCATTCATTTATACATACAAGAGCTGGGGTACAGGCCAGAGGTGTAGGGGTTAAGAGGACCCACCAGAGACAGAGCAGGGAACAGAACAGGCAGATCAACCGAAGTACACTGCTGAGGGGAGCAGCGAGCGAGCCAGGAGAGGTCCGCTGCGCCACGTGGGTCCCCCCCCCCCCCCCCGGCTGGCTGGGGATCAACCTCGCGTCACAGAGGCTGCGGACAGCCTCCCTTGTGTCACCAGGGAGGCCCCAATTTGGAAATATTTTAAAACATTATATGTCTAGTGATAATGAAATCTGTTTAACTTTGCTTAATCCCTGTTTGATAGTACTTTTTGTGGCAAACACAAACATTTGAGGAATTAGGAATTGCAGTAATAGTTTAGAGAATTTTCCACTAAAGGGAATGCGTTTCTCCAGGTAATATGACCTTGTGTGGGTCTCTTCTCTCAATGGCATCAAGATCCCAGATGTCGCCTTCAGGCACTAGGGAAATGGGCGCTGAATGAAAGATACAGGTTTCAAATGAAGTTTGATTGCTTATTATTAAATGGCCCAATGGGGCTTCCCTTATTACAAGCTGGTAAATTTTTATCTTAGCTGTCAGAAAGCTCAGTGTGTAATTTTATTCTCAATTATAGTAATTCTGAAACCTTAATGCATATGTACTTTTTAAAAAATCCACTTTTATTCTGATTTCCATTTTTAATTCCTACTTAAAATCACTTCCTATTTTATATGAAATATTAATTAGAAATAAAAATACAATGGCTTACTAATAAAAATTCTAATAATGACCTACTTGGGTTATTTTAGCAAAATAAAAGCTACTAAATCACTTGCACTTTTTTAAGGATGAATACTGAGGAGAAAGATAAAATATTGTGTGCAACATGCATAATCTATTCAACTGAGATTAACCTAACAAGGCTGGTAGACATTTGATTGACAATATGATTATTTAGAGTACAGGTAAGTATTCCTCTTAAAATCACTGAGAAATTTTAATTTGAAACACTCAAACTCATTTATAAGAGATTAAAAAAAATATGAAACATATTATAAATTGATAAGACTGTTTTCAAATCTTGAAATCTTCATCAAAATACACAGCAAGGGCCTCCCCTGGTGGCACAGGCGGTTGAGCACCGTGCTGTGAAACTGTCTGCAGCCTCTGCAGTGCTGGTTCAATCCTGGCCAGCCGGCAAGGGTCCCTTATGGCGCGGCAGACCTCTCCTGTCTTGCCTGCTGCTCCCCTCAGCAGTGTATTTCATCAGTCTGCCTGTTCTGTTCCCCACTCTGTCTCTGGTGAATCCTCTCACCCTCCAACACACCTGGCCTGTACCACAGTTCTTATATAAATAAATGTTTTTTTAAAGATTTATTTATTTATTTATACAAGCACTGGGTACAGTCAGAAGAGCAGGAGGGTGAGAGAATTCACCAGAGCCAGAGCAGGGAACAGAACAGGCAGACAGACGAAATACACTCCTGAGGGGAGCAGCAGGGGAGGCAGGAGAGGTCTGTCATGTCTTGTGGAACCCTCGCCTACAGCCGGGGATTGAACCGGTGCTGCAGAGGCTGCGGGCAGCTTCGCAGCCCAGCGCTCAACCGCTGCACCACCAGGGGAGGCCCTAAATAAATAAATCTAAAAAAAAAAAAATACACAACAAAACAAGCACTGTAAGCTCAGTGCTAATGGAAGCAAAGTAGGTGACCCAGTAAGTGAAGAATCAAGTAGGACAGATCAAGCGGAGGACACAACCCTCACATGGCTCTAGAGTTGTTTCCATGGCAACAGGGCCTGATGGTAGTATTCAGTATGTATGCATGAAATGTTCTGTGGTTTAAAAAAACACATGTACTTTGTGGGTCTCCTAGATTTAAAAGGCCTGCTCTGCCACCATCTTGGTTATGTGCAGTTCTGCATTCAAATATAAGGTCAGGAAAAAAAAATACAAGGTCAGTCCAGACCAGTCAATTAATTATTTAAAATAATGTAGGACTGCCAGACCCTACAAGGCTCCTTTCATATTCAACAGGAGCAGGATGTTTGATCATCCTGGAACAATGAGTATGAATCACAAGGTATGACTAGGAACTCTAGCGCAGGGCCACTGACTGATGCATAACCCTGCCCTCCCAGAAACTGATAAGCTGAAGGTCTTATCATCAATAAGATTGGAACCAGGAGTAGGGGGACTGAGATACAGCTTCCATCTCAATACCAAGTGATCAAGTGGATAAAAAAATACACTTGTTAGCAGACTCGCCTTCCCCCGGAAACCCTGGATACATATGCACATTTGTTCAGTTTCACCCATCCTTTTTCCTTGTTCTCCTATCCCACACAATTGATGCTGTATTATTTTTCTATCAATAAAAGGCCAGGAGCTTGCTCTTTCAACAACATCCTGCACTGGACAGCTTGCTCCACGACTCCCATTGGTCAGTGAGGAATTGTCAATACAACAGTACTACAAATAGTTTGTAAATAATGTTGGTTGGTCTAGACCTTGTTTCTGGCTTCAACGTCTGCGTTGTGTGCCAGCAGCTTGGCTACGATGGCTGCATTCTGACCCCGCACAGCGTAGTGCAGAGCAGTGTTGCCGTCCATGTCCACGAGGTCTGGATCAGCGCCATGCTCCAGCAGAATGGCTGCACACTCCTCTTGCTGGCATTGTACTGCCTGTCAGTGTTAGAACAAGAAATAGATAGTCAATTCTAGGAATTCAAAGTAAACATTTCACCCATTAGTTTTATTTAAATGAGATAAATTCATGTTTATTGTATTAATCAAGTCCATTTCATACTGACACAGCTGGCTACCACATACCTTCATCAGGGCTGTCCTGTTTTCACTGTCACAGAGGTTAAGCAGGCATTTTCTCTCTACGAGGAGAGTTACCACTTCTCGATGGCCATTGGCACAGGCCAAATGGAGAGCAGTCCTATGAAAGTGAGAAGGCTTTTTAGGAAATTATAGTGTACTAACTCAAAACTGTAAACATTAAATGCCAAAATTCCCATGTCTTTAAACACATGCCCATTGGAAAGTACAACATTATTAGCCCTTATTGCTCATCGCAGTAGTGAAAGAGCAGTTCATTTGACTAGTTAGAGTGTGGATTCAGCTCACTTTGGGTTTGAATCCTACTTTGCTCTGTCACTTATTAGCTATTGCTTAGCCTCTCGATGCCTCATTTTCTCTTGAATAAAATGGGGATGAAAAGGAATTGTCTCACAGGCACTGTTGTGATACTTAAGTTACAATCTTTCAAAGTGTTCTAAACAACCCCTGCAGTAAAAAGCAACTCCTTATTGTTAGATAGTATTATTCTATTTATTGCCATTACTACCACTTTACAAAGACATTTAAACTAAGAAAAATAATACAAATATACCTATTTTGCAGTATGTTTTAAGATTAAAGAGAGCACTGCACTTTAATGATTCTAAGATGCACACTTTCTCACATTTTACCCTTGACACTGGAATGCAATTTATAATTCATAATGTCTTAGAATTATAACTGAGGCAGTTAAAAAAATATGTCTTTGGTACATAAGATAGAGGGGCATTACACAATCCACAGTGCGGTACAGCATGTGATTCATATTGCAGTTCTAATCACATGGTTGGCATTTAACTAAATTATAGTTCTTTTAAAAATTCTGGAGAAAAGGGACTAAATAGCAAAACAAAAGCATATTTTTAAAAAGTCAATCTTACTTCAATTTTCAGGAAACTTTAAGTCAAAGGAAACTGAACATTTGCATGAATATGGATAGCTCATTTATTCAATTATTTTGAGCCAGGGATGGTGTGAAAAATCAGACCTTTCCAATAATTAACATTAGCACTTAATACTACTATAAATTTTCCAAAGAGCAAGTAAAAGTTATCTATTACAACTTCCTACCCTCCAAAATGCTTTTGTTTGAAAGGATGGAGAAAAAGCTTCAAATGAGATTAGGTCTTAATACATTCTTCAGTTTTAAATTTCATAACTTAGGCTGGGCAACATTTAGTTTCTAAGGATGAAAGCGTCCTGGGAGGTATTAGAATACGTCTGCTATATAACAGATATTCAAGCTATAGCTGATGAACAAAAAGAATGGATAAATGTAGATGGAGAATTCAAAATACATCATACACATATATACACACATACACACACATATATAAGTATATATTTACCTATATATAATCTCCATTAACAGCTCTAGTAAAGTTCCCCAATATCTCTAATACACTACATACTTTCAAGTTATCGAAGCAAAGTCTACCTGTATCCTCGCATTATAAACTGGGAATTCAGAACAATAGGTTTAAACAATGTACAGGTTAAATGTGGAAAAGAGCTGAGGGTGCAGTTTGTTCAAAATCTTCAAAGAAAGGTTTTATAAAGTAAAGCACTGATAATGATAATCATCATTTATGTTTACTATTTTTAGATTCATACACAACTAAAAATTGTTTACAAATTAAAATAAAGCTATATAATAAAAATGTATATATTTAAGTGTATGCATAATAAAATCTACAAGCACATATAAAAAGATTCTATTTACTTCTGAAAGGTCAAAAGTTATCAGAAGATACCAGTCCTTCAAGAAAAAATGTAAAAAAGTAAAATCTCTGCAAAATTCATATGCCTGCTCTTCCCCAGGAATATTTCATTAATAATAAACTCATTAGAATTTTTATACATGTTCCATGTAGAAATCACAGACTTTTTAAAAAAAGAAAAATTCACTTAAAATACAAAAGCTCAAAAATAACATTTTATCACATCTTGTACATGTTTTTGGCTAACACTACACTACAGTCTATGTGTATGTGTAATCCAAGTGAATGTAGATCAAAATGATCTACTAAAGTACACCTTTGATTGCGAACACACATCTATATGGATGCCACTTTCAAAGGCCATTATCTAGATTATGGGCACACTGTAATTATAAACTCTGTTATGAGTTTTTTTAATACATTGCTATTTTAAGCAGCACTAGAAAAAAATTGTACATTATAGGTATCAACTTCCTAAAGATATTTTTAGAATACACATAAGTAAAAGGAATATATATATATTTGTAAGTGTGTTAGTTATCACCAAGTTGCCTACTGAAAAATCAAAAGCAGCTTAAACTTTAAGCAACTGTGTAAGAACCACAGCTCCTCATCATCACAAACTCTGCGGATGGAAAAGGTGATTTTGCTCATCTATTAACTTAAATTCATTTCCTACCTGGGCCACTAAATATTTTTTCCCATGTCCACTGGTCACCAGATATGCAAAAAATATATCTGCCCAATCTTCACATTAGTTTCCTTCTTGTTGATTTCAAAGAATTCTTTAAAATGAAGACATATTTTTCATCTGATACAGATATGCTGTAGACATTTTTATTTTGTTAATATGATTTGATATACAGAGAGCTTTAATTTTTTATGTTACTGAATCAAACTTCTTCCTCCTGAAGTCATTCTTAGGAAGGTCCTGGACAACATAAAAAATGAACAAATACACATTTGTGTTTCCTTCTGGTGCTTTTCTCATTTTGTATATTTAACATTTTTAATTTCTATTTGATCTGGAACTTATTTTTATGAGATTAAAAAATCTAGTTAGTTTCTTCCAAACACAATTAGCTGGTATTTCACCATAATAATATTTCACCAGTAAATTCACATGCATTTGGATGTTTGGGCATCTTCTATCCTGTTCCATTTATTTATGTGTATTTTCAGTTGTGAACCAATTACTAGTTAGTGGAAATTTATACCACATTTTGATATCCAGAAGGCAAGCTTTTGTCTATCTTACAAACCTTTTGTAAGTTTCATCACAACAGTAAAAGACAGCATATGTAACTCAAATTTTTTAAAACCTTATTTTTTTTGTTTGGTTTATATAAAATTGATAAATACCAGGAAGAACTCGCACTTAGAGAAAATGACATTTTCTGTTCAAGAACCCAGGGCCATCTTCCCCCTTCAAAGTTTCCTTTGAAGGTCGCTCCATAAGAACATATAGAAATAGGTACAGACTGGTACCAGGTGGGTCCTGGAGTTCATCCGAAGCGCGTCTAGCCTGGGCGTTGCTCTAGGATGGGAACGGTCGCTCTCATTCTGCGCTTTTCTACAGTATGGAGTGTGATGGCATGAAAATGCAAACATAAATGCAAAAATAAAATGCTGCACACGACTCTTATAACTGATACTAGCTGCATCTTTCTAAAATTGTCAGTAAAGGTAGTTTTGAGTGGACGCAAAGGGCGCGAGCGCCGGCGGGGCTGTTCTCCCCCACGGGCTGGGCGCGGCCCCGCGGCGGCTCCAGGGCCAGCGGCTGCCGAGCGTCGGCGCGAGGACGGCCGGGCCCGCGGGGACAGGCCGGGCCCCGCCGGGCCGCGAACGTGCGCGCGTCTCCCGGGTCCTCCCGCCCCGGGGCCGGCCCGCTGCCCCGTTACCTGGACATCTTGTCTCGATCATTCAAGCCGTTTTTCCCCAGCAGAAGCAGCTGCTGCACCGCGGCCACGTCGCCCGCGCTCGCGGCCCGGTGGATCTTCCCGAGGTCCCGGGCGCGGACGCAGTACCCGGGCGGCCTCGGGGCGACGGCCTGGGCGCCCGCGGCGCCGCTCTGCGGGCTGGTGGAGGAGCCCCGGCGCCACGCGCCCTTCCCGCTCCGAAAGCCAAAAATCTTCTTCATCGCGTCAGAAACTCCTCGCCGCCGCCGTGGCTTTCCTCCGCCCCCGAGCTCAATTCCCGTCCACAGAGAAGCCAACCGGCTGTCGCCGCGGCGGTCACCGCAGCCCGGGCGGCGGCGGATTTAAATCTTTCGGACTAGGCTAGCGGTAGCCAAGCAACGACGCCACACGCAACTGCGCGGGCGCGCCTCAGAAAAATGGCGTCACTGCGCCTGCGCACCGAGAGGCATTTCCCCCAGGGGTGAGCAGTGCGCGTGCGCGAGGGCACGCTGTCTCAAATCTCTGCGACGGCCGGCTGGCGGCGCGGGGTTGACGTCTGAAGTCGGTGGCGTCGGCGACTGTCGTGGACCTTAAAGATGCTTAAGGTCTCGTTCCCGGGAAAGCTCCTCTAAAATAGTTCTAAATATGCTTGCTCCTCAGCTTATTTCTCTTCTCCATCACCCAGGGCCCAGGACATCTTCGTGGAATTTAACAAATACAAGAACAGGAAACAGCTGTTTGTTTTCATGGTTCCAGAGGTTGTGGCACTGTACGTCATCAAGTGCAAATTTAGGAGAAATCAGTGCACGTATTTCAGATGAAGTGAAAATGCAAATGGCCAACAGGCATATGAAAAAATGTTCAACATCACTTGCAATCAGGGAAATGCAAATCAAAACTACCATGAGATACCATCTTACACCAGTGAGAATGGCACATATTAAAAAAACTAGCAACAACAAATGTTGGCGAGGATGTAGAGAAAAAGGAACTCTCCTGCACTGCTGGTGGGAGTGCAAAATGGTCCAACCACTATGGAGAATTGTGTGGAGATTTCTTGACCTACTAAACATAGAGCTTCCATATGATCCAGCAATTCCACTCCTAGGTGTTTACCCAAAGGACACAGAAACATCAATTCCAAAGAACACCTGCACCCCTATGTTAATAGCAGCACTGTTTACAATAGCTAAGCTTTGGAAACAACCCAAATGCCCAAAAATAGATGACTGGATCAAGATGTGGTACATATACACCATGGAATATTACTCAGCATTCAGAAAAGATAAACACATGCAATTTGCAGCAACAGGGATGGCGCTGGAAGGGATCATGCTCAGTGAAATAAGCCAGAAAGAAAAAGAAAAATACTGGATGGTCTCACTCATAGCAGGAATCTAGAAAACTTAAATAAAGGACCAGGAAAATGAATAACTATAAGAAAGTGAAAATCAAAATCAACAAAAAACTATGAACCAGAGACACTTTTTGGGGAGTGGGGGGCAGGAGGGGAGGGATTGGGGTCAAAATGGGGGGGTTGCAATTGTATGGGGAATATAAAAATAAAATTTATTATAAAAAATGTTAAGAACAAGAGTGAAAAAAAAAAAAAGAAAACGCAATTCTGAATGCCTCAACTCTCCCATTGGGCCCAGGCTCACAATTTTTTTTTTTACTTTATTATTTTGCATTTCTTTTATCGAATTAAATCTCTAATCTGATACTTCTTTTAGAGCATAATGTAACATTTAAAACTTTTAAAAATGGATATTCACTTGTCCCAAACAATCCATGTTTTCTGACCTGGTTTAAAATACTTTATCTGACATAAATTCTGAGATACTCTTTTCTGATTCTGGATTTTCTATTCTTTTCCACTAAGTGATCCTCTGCTTCTTGCATCCCTACCCTACTATTTTAATTCCTTATAAAATATATTTACTATGCATTATATTTTCATTTTGTTGACTGTTTTCTTTGCTCTGCTGAAGATTGATGGTTTGATATAATGCCACTTTTTTTTTGTTGTTGTTGCCTTTGCTTTTGGTGTCAAGCCCAAAAAATCATTACCAAGTCTGATGTCAAGGAATTTACATGCTTATGTTTATTTCTGGGAGTTTCATGGTTTCAGGTCTTATATTCGTCTTTAATCTATTGTGGGTTAATTTTGGCCTGTGGTGTAAGATGGTGGTCCTTTTGCATTCTTTTGTGTGCAATTTTCCAACACCATTTTTTTGAAGAGACTGTACTTTTCCCATTATATATTCTTGACTCCTTTATCATATATTAATCAGCCATTTATAAACAAGTTCGTTTCTGGACTCAACATTCTGTTACAATGTTATATGTCTTTTTTATGCCAATACCATAGTATTTTGATTATTATGGCTTTGTAATGTAACTTGGAATGAGAACCATGATACTTCCAGTTTTGTTCTTTCTCAAAGTTGCTTTGGTTATTTGGGGTCTTTCATGGTTCCAAACTAATGTATTGCCTGTGTTGTTTCAGTGAAAAATGCCAGTGGAATTCTGATAGGGGTTGAATTGAATATGTAGATTACTTTGGATACTATGGAAATTTTAGCAATATTGATACTTTCAATCCGTGGACATGAAATAGCTTTCCTTTTATATTTCTCCTCTCTAACTTCTTCTAACAATGTCTTACAGATTTTACTGTACAGGTCTTTCACCTCCTTAGTTAAATTTATTCCAAGATATTTTAATCTTTTTGGTCTAATTGTACTTAGTGTAAAGAAATGCAACAGATTTTTGTATGTTGATTTTGTATCCTGCACCTTTATTAAAATCATGTCATTGGTTCTAACAGTTTTTGTTGTATCGTTCTTAATGTTTTCTGTATATATAATGTCATCTGCAAATAGTGACTCTTTTACTTCTTCCTTTGTGGGATGTCTTTTATTTCTTTTTCTTCCTTAATTGTTCTGGGTGAGAATTCCAGCACTGCATTGAGTAAAAGTGATGAGCGTGAGTGCCGCGGACCAGCACAGCAATTTTATTATTTTTGAAAGTTAATTAATTTAGTATTTTAGTATATTTATGATTATTAAATTTATTCTTTGACTGGGAAAGGGATATTTTTAATACGGGAGCAGAGGCTTGAGCAAATAATGGCGTTGTTTTTAGATTATTACTGTTTTTAGGATTATTTGGAACTTTATTCTGTTGGCCTTCCCATAATTTTGCCTCAGTGGCATTAACCAACAAATCTTGATTAGTACCCAGAAGGACAAAGCCTGTGTTGGGACTAAGATGGCCCATGAAGGGCATAAATTTTTTTTACTTTTTTTTTTTTACTTTTTTTCCAGGTTTTTAGTGATAGACTGCCTTCTTCTGGAAACCACGGACATACCCATAATATAAATTTATAAAGTTGCAGTAGAGCTTTTTTATTTACTTTAATACCATGTGTTTTAATTATATTTTTTAATATAGATAGAAAAAGATTTTTGTTTTTGGTCTGTAATTGACCAATGTTCTTGTGGTGCTTTTATTTAAGTAGAGATTTTTTTTAACTGTGTTGTCCAGCCCGTGTCCCTCGCAGGAACTTGTGGAGGCGTTTTAGCTAAGGTCTGTTCGTATAAATTCCGGACCAGGCTACTTCGAAGAGCAGATGACCGTTATGTCATATGACGTTTCTCCACGGGAATCGTGGGTGCAGCCCACTCAGACTCCGTAGCCACGAGGCGGTGGAGCCGTAATCATACACTCTCACACACATGCAGCACCACGAGCATTTACACTTAGAAAAACTTTTTACTGTCTCAAACTGATCACCCAGCGAGCTCCGGATGCTCCAGTGAGGATCCTATCCCTGACTTTTTAAAAAGAGGGTATTTTTAAGGGAATCACATTTACACTCACACACAAGAAGGAAGATAGCTTACCCAATGCAATTTTTTCATTACTCACCTCTCCTTTTGCAACAGGGTGGTCCCCAGGAAAGGGGGAGGTTCCCTGCCCCACCCAAGGGAGGGTAGAGCTGAGCAGCAAGAGAAGAAGCTGCAGGAAGAGACGGAGGAAGGAAGCAGGATGGAGCAAGGAGACTTGGAGGAGGCGCATGGAGCCTAGAGACACGTGAAGAAACTGCGCTTGTCTTTTGGTCGTGGACGGGGTGACACAGATGTGGGTGAGACCCGTGGGGAGGTGACAATGGCAGCTTTTATCTTGATGTTGATTTTGCTCTTTTCCTTCCGGGCTTGTCTGGTTGTTTGTGACCCTTTGCTGTGGGTCCCCACTGGAAGATGCTTTAGACTTGTGGCAGGCTTTGGGGCCTTGTTCTGGACCAATCCCATTTGGATGGACTTTTACCCACGAGGGGACGGGTAACTTTGGGTGCTTCATTTAGAAACTAGACTCTTTGCCTTTCCTGTATGGTTTCCTAGTTTTATTAAAGTTCCTTTTCATTAAAGTCTCATATGTTTTGTGTTGATGCGGCGGATGGCAGAACCCATTTAGAATAGGCAGGTTTGCGGGGTTTGGGCTGCCCCTCTCCCTGTCCTATAACACTTTGGGTGGAAAAACTCAGCAAAATTTGAATTCGGGCCCCACATTGGGTGCCACCTGCCGCGGACCAGCACAGCAGTGAACGATGAGGCCATCTCGGGGTTGAGAGACTGCGCAGGGTGGTCAGGGATTCGGCGAAAGAAATGACAAACAGACACACTTCAAGAGAGAGTGTAAATCTGAGTGTAATTTTCTTTGAGTTTGTGACCAGTATATATATATGTTTTCTAAAAGCATAGGAACAATGAATATCAATGAAATTAGCTTGCTCATGGGTTTAGCTTATCACTGACAGGGCAGTGATTTACATCTG